CAATTTTTTATTCTCTTGCTTCATTAATAGTCATACCAGTGTCTAGTAAAATGACTTAAATGAGTTCGACTTGATTTTCTTCTCACTTAAACGTAAAGTACTTAAATGCTATATACCTTTATAAACAGAATATCACATAAAAGCCTTTTTGGACGCCAAAAAAAATTTTTTGAGTCAAAATGTAATTGCATTTAGCATATATAACAAAGTTGCCGGTAAAAAAATTATGAGACTCATTTCCCAATTCTTTTCTGCAAGGATCGGTAAGCACGGCCAGCAGAAATAATGTCCTGATAAACATGTTACTATGTAAACTCTTATGTTTGCTTAAATGTAGAAGATTAATACTTACTATAAAAATAGATAGGAGTAGAAAAATGGAGTAAAAATATTATATTTTGAGCAGACTTACCTATACTTTATGAGATAATGAAGACAACTTCAACCATTAGGAAATAATTTCACCAGACATGCAATAAGGACGAATCCAAAAGTGAGGATTAAAAGTTTGGAAATACGATAACTTGGTTTATTAAACTCGTGAGGCAATATTTCGAAACAAGTAACGTACAAGAAAGTCCCGCAAGCTACTGCCTGCAAGTAAGTGTTGATAGAATGAAACGGATATTTTATACCTAGTAATTGGGAGCTTCATTTTAGACTTGAAGATCATGACTTCCTCTCCATGGCTAAAAGAAGGCAAGTTATACAGTAGAATTAAACTGATATTTCCAGAAGTGATACACTGGGACCTAGATTATGACTTAGTTCCTAATGAGAAGCTGCGGCAAACATACTGATCAAGTTAGACATTGTTTGAGTATTCTGAAGAATTACTTGTGCGATAGTAGAAACAATTCCAGCAATATGTGGCGAGCCGTAGCTTATAAAATCCAGAATCGCAATGCCACCGAATCCACCAAGAATAACTTGACCAGAAAAAATGACTGCAGACAATAGTATTGTTGCAGTTCGTAATGAACTTTGTGCAAGTCGAAGTCCAAGTGAAAATCCGATAATTGTTTTGTGAATAAGAAGTGCAAGAAATACCTAAAGTGTAGTAAAATTTACTGCCATCAACCTAAACGGATTGAGCGGAACAGCATTATTTTTTATGTGAATTTAGGACTTATTTGACAAGTCCTAATTTTCATTATTATGCCCTGCTGTAATTATTCTGACAAATTAGCGTGATTTTGCTGTAATTGTTTCCACTGACGGTTCAGAACTGAAAATATGGAAATAGTACCACCTGTAAGATTTCGTTGACGTCGCCGATCAATCCTAATGATAATCCCTCAAATACGGCATGTAATGATAATGCCATTACTAATAAGACAACACGCACTGTTGTATGAGACTGTTGAGGATCTTGGGAATTCCTGCTGCTGCTTTCTATTTTTGCATCAAATCAAAAACCGAATTTTTTTCATAAGTAGGAATTTATGGTCTCATGGAAGATTGAAACATATATAAACAATGCACACCATGCTCGGAGTAGATATCCGTAGAATCTCCATCATTTTCACTAGAAGACACATAATCATTATGCCCTGTTATTAGTTGATCCATATCGCCATTATCGAGAGCATGTTTCTCTCGGATAGAAAGAACAACCTGAAGGAAATGAATTCGAAAACATAATATAACATTACATTTCTCCTGATTTATACCATTTAATAAACGAAATATTTTCAGAAGTGTTGGATTACAACGATGAGGAGAAATATCAACTTCGGAAAATATAGTGAAGCTAAAAATCATTTTTAAAGATTCAATTAACAACTGTGATAGAATTAAATCTGTTATTTTATCGAGACATTTGTCGCGATAATTTCACAATTAGTAAATATGCTTGAGATGTCATAAGGTGGTGGTACGAACTTTTTTGGCACTAGAATTCGTTTTAATGGAATATTAGAGTTTTCGAATTTCTTTATTTTTCAAGTTGTTTTTTACTTTTGAGTAATAAATGAAATAAGTTTATACGTTTTCTGTCGTATGTAGTGCCAGTAAATGTAACTAATGTTGGAGTTCTTTTACAAAGTATTCGTAAATTAGATAGAACATCGTATTGAACGACTTTCTACTCATTCCAGAAGTTTAATCTTTTTTCTCCTACATGCATAAAATTATTATGGCAGAAGATATGATGAAAAATGTTACTTGTTCGGTAAAGAGCACCAACAGAAAGCCAACAGCTATAAAAACTTCGACAAATGGGTAACTGTAGGTGAAATGCTGCATTTCTTCAACTTTCCGCAAGCAATCATTTGCATCGGGCAGCAAGTCCAAAAGACATGTCGCTAGAAATACACCACCACCAAATACGGAAACCAGTGAAAGTAACGGTAAGAAATTAGGACTATTGATTTGTATACGTCGAAGTAAAAAAGGAATCTGCAATATAGATGAATTAATCATACATTGTAGCTGCCTGTAAATTAAGTTTCAAAAAATTAATTCTTGTTGCTTGTTTAAAATCTTATTAGTATAACTATCAGTAATAGTTCAAAAACAATTTTTTTTTAACTCACAAAGTATTTTGAACTTTACAGTATTATATTTTCGTACTAATAATTATATGATTTTAGCTTCCGTTCGATACTTCAATTCTGAAGCTTTTAAAAAATCAGCTTTAGTATGATGCAGCGTACATTACTAGTAACATAACAAATATGAATATAACTGATTCTAGTACAAAATAACTTCACAATTAGATTTTCTGACTTATCTGTTACAAATATCAGATAAAAATGTTGAAATAGTTAAATAAATTTATAACTCTTACAGTATGCATAGATTAATTAAATAAAATAACTTACGGATGAGGCTACGAGCGTTACAAAGAATAGAGCCAAGATGAGACCTGCTCTGAGGAACGCATGTACTGTAATGATTGGTACCGGAGATCTAAAGAGATCTGCGATAAGAAATTGCATTTCAGCTTCTTGTCTATTTATCCATCATGTCTTCAGCACTAAGAAAAAAATCTATTGTATCTAAAAGATTATGGCGATCAAAAACAGTAACATATGAATATACAGTATCAGAGTATAAACCATATATCCTAGTATTATGCATGTTAAACTATATGATACGATGCATTGCACACAGTGATACTACAATAGCAGAATAAACAGCAAGCTATTTATTCAAATTACATTTTTAATGTACAGTACAACAAATTACTAGAACATAGTATCACTTAGCACTGTACAGTCATTGCACAGTATAATTTACCACCATGGCCTTAACTTCAAGTAAATGAAATGATATCATAATGCCGTCAAAATAAGATAAATTTGAATGTGGCATGCTTATTCTACAGTATATCTATAATTACCTGTAATATACTGTTAATTACCAAAAGCTAAAGCTTTATGGTAGGTAATTGTAGAGTCAAAACTATACCTGCAATCATCTTTTTTATTGAGAGTAATTTGAATGCAAAACAAAACAAGCATTCCTAAGAGTCCCCAATGAAAAATCGATACATATATGAACTCTAAACTATCATTGTCTTCAAACAATCACCAAATATTCATCAGAAATGCTGTATTAGCAAATACCTCGAAGAACTAGAAAATACTGCGGAGCTAAATTCAAGTTGAACAGAATAAACGTTTTGGGATAGAACACTTGCGTAATGAAATTGATGTGTAGTCCCGTAACTATTTGGCAGCAATTCAAAGGTTGGGAAAATAGTATATATATTTCTGATTTTGACGTTTACGTGCGACGTTTACGTGTTGTAATAAGTATTTTTACGTGTTCATTTATGTGCAATTAATAAGCAAAAGTTGCTTATTAACTTTATACATAAGTACACGTCATTCATTCGCGTGATAAGAACACTTTATTGTTTCTGTTTGATAAAAAGGATTGTTATAATTTTTCAGTCTTTTCTTTCTTATAAATTTGAGTGATATCTCCTCGTAATCAGTTAGTTTAATTTTATATTATGTAATTAAATTTTATCCCCATGTAGTTTTTATTCACTTTGTAGTAATGTTTGTGGAGTAAATTGTATGCAACAAACTTAGTACATTAAAAGCATACAGAATTCATTTCGAGCAAGTATTAACCTTCTGTAACTCTAAGTCAACAATGTTTATTATCGGTTCACTCTTACGTGTATAATGTAAATTGCAGGTACTTAAAATGTGGGGTGATCGGGTGTACTGCTATCAGTAATATTTCGGTAAGAAAGACAGTAGATTTTGGAAGCATCCAATATCACTGTAATTAATTATGGATCAAAAACCTTCCAGTGTCCAGTCAGACGATAAAGAAAAGATTTATGAAAAGGTCATCTTATTTAATTGCGTTATCAAATTACAGTAAGGATTCATATACATGTGCATACTTTACTGTTTGTATAGATTTGGTTACGAATTAATTTGTTTTGTTCGTCAAAGTTTTAGAAAAATTATTTTTCTTGAATATTTTTATCATTTTCTGCACTGTGATTTTGTTTCGTTTCAGCAATTTTTTTTAATTGAATGCAATCATATTTATAAATTCATTTTGTTTACATTTTTAACTTAATATATTATATCATTCTATCACTATTTTCGACGTAGTGGTGGTGTTATAGTAACTTTCAAGGTTGAACTTGACTGCAGGCTAAGGCATATTGGGCCTCAGTTTCTTGCGATGTCAATGGCATGCTTGGAGGTTTTTCTAAGCTCCATCTACCAGATATTAAAGCCTCAAAAAATTTTATTGAATATCTGAAAGTTAAGGTATGCATGTTTATTTATTACTAAAATTTTATCTTCATATTCTGTATATAACAAAGGTTTTTCATTAGAAAATGATTTACTTCCTGCCATAATTTGTATTATATTATGATATAAACTAGTTAAAATTATTACGCAAAATAAATTTG